AAAAGCTAAATGGCATCTAATCTCAAACCACTGTTCCATGGTGTCCAGTCCCATGACAAAATGCTTTGGCATTAAAATGCTACTAAACCCAGGACCATGCATTTACTATATCTGGTTTCCCACAGTACACAGAACATGGAAATGCAAGTATAAACTGTTAAATACCTCTGCTCAGCAGTTAGAGCAATGTTGTGAGTTCTATCAGTGCTTAGCTGAGCACTGGTTTAAAGCTTGTAGGAGGAGTTTTCTTTCTGCTCTAGGAGGATACAGAACGACTGACCTCTGTCTGGACAGTGCTAATTGGCCCTGTCACATGCACTCCCCTAAGAAAAAAAAAAATCTGTCTAGCAATACACACCAAACTGAGCATGTGCCGAGTGTCTCCACATGATATGTCTTATCAGGAGATGAGGGGGACACTGGAAGAAGGGAAGGATCAGAGAAGTCAGGATCAAACAGCCTTTTTACACAATGCAGAGGATTAACCCCTTAGGTTCCACAGTAAGTCGTGCATGCTTTACTGCATATTTAGACTGCTTTTACTGTTTGTGGGTTTAGTAACACTTTTTAATCCCATGATTTCAGCAGGAAGGGCTTTGGGGATTGGAGCTAAAGCAGAGGTAGTGGCTAGTCAGCAGTTGTGCATGAACAATAATGCTCCCCATGAGCTGAGATCATATGACCAATGTCTGTGCATGTGATCACATGACTTGGTGCCATGAAAGCCAGGGACAGCGATTTCTGAAAGGCTGGCAATAGATAGCTTTTAACCAGTTGTTTTTGTGTGGAGACCTTGAAGTGTGTGAATGCTAAACTAGTATTAGGCCTTCAGCATTTTTATTTTAACACATTGACTCTAATAAAATAAACATTCTTCAGTTAAATATTTGTCCTTGCCTAAGCATTCCCGGTTTACAACTGTCAGTGCTGTTGGCTTCTGCTTCCTGGACTTTTGGTCTTCAAAGGAAAGAGCTACAGTGAACAGTATAGTCTCAAGTCAGTCTAATAGTTTGCAGAAGGGAGGATCAGGGGAGTGCCTTACCATAATAAGCTATAAGCTGTGTGTTTCTTTTAATGCACAGAGCATAGGGAGACACAACTCTAGAACCTTCATGTAAAGGTGGCTCCATAGGATGCTGCAAGAGAAGAGAGCCACGCTGAAACAGGAAACTGGGGCAGAGGTCATGGCACCAGCTTAAACGGGAACATATGCAAGTAATAAACAATGAAGAAGTTGCTAACTCAGTAGGTGATTGGATCTGCTGCTGCTGAAAGTGCTTAATAAAAACTGAGGGTGTAATATACTTGAACAACTTCTGTTCTGCATGTTTGGAAATTGAATATAACTGGAGCTGGTGCTTAGCACCCCTCTGCCTCACTAATTGTTCACAGCTGTGATTAGTGGCTTCACTGATTGGAGTGCAGTAGGTGTGATTGGTGGATATTTCACAAAATTGCACCCTGTTTTGGGTTAATGGTGATCGGCATCAGTAACCAATGCAGCACATTAAAAGTTGAAAGGAAATGCTTGTTGTCACTATGACCCACCATTCCTTTCTTATTCCAGCCTTCCCTTTTCAAACAACAGTATAGCAATTTTTATGCATTCACCATGTTATTTTGGTATTATGCTTAGTATTTCTATGTGTGTTTTTTTTTTTTGTTTTGTTTTTTTTTTTTAAGGTTGACGTGCGCATTCTTAGCATGTAAAGTAGATGAATTTAATGTATCCAGCGTCCAGTTTGTTGGTAACCTCCCAGAAAACTCTGCAGCCCAGGAGAAGATTTTAGAACAGATTCTGGAATATGAACTGCTGCTCATCCAACAGTTGAACTTCCACCTTATAGTGCATAACCCTTACCGACCTTTTGAAGGATATTTAATTGATTTAAAGGTACTATGAGAGCAAAATTCCTAAAACTGACATGTAGTAAGTTAGAAACATGAACCAGAGTGGAAGGAAAATAGATCTTGAGATAATTGAAAATCAAACAAACACATTTATGGTCGGGTCTGTCCTTTCTTTCCTTTCTTTCCTTTCTTTCTTTTCTTTCTTTCCTTTCTTTGCTTTTCTTTCTTTCCTTTCTTTTCTTTCTTTTCTTTCTTTTCCTTCCTTTTTCCTTTCCTTTTTTCCCTTTCCTTTTTTCCCTTTCTTTTTTTTCCCTTTCCTTTTTTTCCTTTCCTTTTTTCCCTTTCCTTTTTTCCTTTCCTTTTTTTCCTTTCCTTTCCCTTTCCTTTCTTTCCTTTCTTTCCTTTCTTTCCCTTTCCTTTTTTCCTTTCCCTTTTTTTCCCTTTCCCTTTTTTCCCTTTCTTTTTTTCCCTTTCTTTTTTCTTTCCCTTTCCTTCTTTGCTTTCTTTCCTTTCTTTCTTTCATTTTGGCTTTCTTTCCTTTCTTTCCTTTGATGGCTTTCCTGATCAGTAACATCTTTCCCACCTTTCTTTCTTTGACCTTTGGATTATTTTCTTTCTTTCATTGATTTGACTTTCTTTTCCAAAAACAGTTCATTCAAGGCTTTTCTGTGAATGATTTTCTTTCTTTCTTTTGTGTTCTTTCACAACAAAACTGAAGCCATTGGCTGGTGTTCTTAACTTTTCTTGTGCAGCTTTCCTTTCAGCTTTTCAGATCAAACCGAGGTTAAGCCAGCTTTTCTTGGCTTTTAAATCTAGGAGGGTTTTCTTTCCTTTAATTTTTAACGGTTCCTGTTCTTTCTTTCTTTTGTGCCTCCTTTCTTTCACAGGAACAGGTGTTAAACCCCCTTTTCCCCCCCCCCCCCCCCCCACCTTTTTTCCCTTTCCCACCGCCGTTATTTTTTTCACCTTTGATCCTGGTGGCCACTTTCCTTTTTGGAGTCCCTTTCCATTCTTTTCTCGGTGACTACAGAACACAGACAGCAAAAACTGCTTAACAAATGTTTCCCTTCTGCCTGAAACAAAAAAAATAATTTCCTAGCATTTTTTTGTTATTTTCTTTTTGGAGAATACACGCATTACTGAACGTGGCCCTGGATGAATGGTGATTTTCAAAAGGGGTTTTGAAACTTTTTCTATGTGTCTTTGTATAGACCTTTTTCCCTTTCCTTTTTATGAACTGGCCCTGAGGAATTTTTTCAAAGGGGTCCTTTCCCTTTTTCCCTTTCCTTTTTCCCTTTCCCTTTTTCCTTCTGTCCCCAAAAAAATTTTACATGAGCATATTGATGGCTGGCATCTGATGATCAGTAACATCTAAGAGCTAAATGCCCACCTTGACTCAATGACCTTTTTTTGATGGGTTTCTAAAGCCATTGATTTTTAGACTATTTCCCCAAAACAGTTACATTCAAGGCATGCTGTGAATGATAACTGTCACAATTTGTGTGCTCACAAAAAAAAACTGAAGCCATCAAATGGCTGGTGTCATAACTGATCACATGTGCAGCACCAGGGCAGCTGCAGATCAAACCGAGGTTAAGCCAGCAGATTTCTTGGCTTTTAAATCTAGGAGGGTTTAGTTCCCCTTTAATTGGTTTAAGTTGGTAAAACTGTGAGAGCAGTTGTGCCTCCCGGGAAGAGATCTATCACAGGAACAGGTGTTAAACCCCAACCAAGTCAGGGTCCCCCCCCCCCCCCCCCCCCACCACCACCACAGCCGTTGGAATATTTTTCCTCACCTTTGATCCTGGTGGCCACTCTTCAAAATTTGGAGTCCCCCTCATTCTATCTCGGTGACTACAGAACACAGACAGCAAAAACTGCCGCTTAACAAATGTTTCCCCACTCTGCCTGAAACAAAAAAAATAATTTCCATAGCATTTTTAGAAATATTGGAGAATGTATCATTTTCATGCTACTATGTGTCTGTTGTATAGACATGTGTTTAACTACACGCATACAAATATGAACTGGCCCTGAGGAATGTGTTTTTCAAAGGGGTCCTGTTATTCTGTTTATTGAAACAATTTTACTTGAAAGCAGGATTTGATAACACTGCAGTATGAAATGTGTTAACCTCCCCAGCAGTCTGATTATGTCCATATTTCTGTGCTCAAAGCGGTACATTTTTTTGCATGGAAATATGTATTTTTTTTATTGTAGGAAATTTTTAGGAATAACTCACTGAAATCTGTCCGAACAAGAGTCTAGTAAACATCCCACGTATGATAAAACTTGAAACCCGAAATTATAATTTAATAATCATAAAAAAGAATATAATACATTTAATTCAATAATATAATCAAACTAAAAACACTGAAATTTGAAATATAGAGCCAAGTTTGGACATCACTGAGCAAAGTCGCAAAATCGTTTTCAGTGTCTGATGATGTATTTCCCCACGAATCATTATCACTCAATTCTGCAAGTGGTTCTGATTTACTATCGCTGTTCTCTAGTTGGTCTAAAACCGCTTTTGACCTAAAGGGACGCTTTTTGGACGCCATGGACGTTTCTCAGTTTCCAGGCAGAAAGAACAGTAAAAATGCAGGCAGGGCACAGGACAAAGCACTAGGGACAAAATGTATGTGAAATGGTTTTGATACAGTAATGTTTTACTATGTGATTTTAGTGAAGGTCACTTTTTTTTGTCATTTTCAAATTTGCCACTGTTCCGTCCCCCGTACGTCCCGACTCTTGCAGGGGACGGAACCCAGATGACAGATGCCGGCATGCACCAGATTACATTGCCGAGGACACTGCAGGAGGGACATCGCGGGAGCGCAGGACAAGGTGAGGGATCGCGGAGCAGCGCCGCATAGTAAGCCTGAGTGTAGTTCGGGGTTTACCGCTTGTGGTACTGAAACTTTACCCCGAGCTACACTCGGAATACCGCCAGGGAGGTTAATGGAGAGATTTGTGAAATCTATAGCAAAATACACCCAACCAACAAATCAAATAGTTCTAGCTATGACCTATAAAGTTATACATAAGAAACAAGGCATTATAGTTATTACATGTGCTGAATGTATAATACAAACAGAATGTACGTTTCCTTTTAGACGCGATATCCTTTGCTAGATAATCCAGAGATGTTGAGGAAAACGGCGGATGACTTCTTGAATCGAGTTGCTCTGACTGATGCTTGCTTGCTGTTTACACCATCCATTATTGCTCTCACTGCTGTCTTGTCTATGAATCTCGAGAGCAGGCCTTAAATTGATGAGGGCTAGTGCTTCGAGAGCAGGCCTTAATATTGAGAGGTATGTTGTCACCAATTCGGGACAATGTAATGACATTTATAAAATGCTGCAAGGCCTGGAAACTATTGTAAAGGAAATCTTTGCTGAAAAAATTTAACTGGCCATGTTGTTTCTGTAAAAATCTAGCTGCTAGCTATCAAGTTGGACCTCAGCTTCAACATGTTTTTTGAGTATAAATAAAGGCAAAACTTTTTTAGTTTTGGACAGAGTGAAGAGAGATTAACCAGTTTGTTGCGCTATTTTACAAAAGTAACAAAGGACGGCTACAGGGCGCTTGTCTTTGTGTGACGATGTCCATAATGTCATGCCAAACACGCCCCCAGTGGTGCAGCTGCCGATAATCGCTGTGTCCTATGGACACAAACTGATCACGTGATACGGTTAATGGCCAATCATGGCGGCCTTTTACCACATGATCAGCTGTGTCCAATGGCACAGATCACCAGTTAAATACAGTTGCTGGTTATTGGCTGCACTTTCCTCACGCTGTCACAACGTGAGGAAAGTACTGCCGATAACCGGCAATTGTCAGAGAAGTGATCGGTACTGATGATCAGTGCCGCCCACCTGCATTCATCAGTGCCAACCACCTGTGACCAGCAGTGCTGCCTATCAGTACAGCATCATCAGTGCCAGCTCATCAATGCTGCCTATCAGTGCAGCCTTAGCAATGCACATCAGTGAAGGAGAAAAATTGCCTGTTTGCAAAATTTTATAATAGAAACAAAGAAACTTTTTTTTTTTTTTTGTAGCGCAAAAAATATAACACCCAGAGGCAAGTAAATACCACAAAAAGCTCTATTTGTGTGAAAAATATTATAAAAATGTCATATGGGTACAATGTTGCATGACCGCGCAATTGTCATTCAAAGTGCGACAGCGCTGAAAATTGGCATGGGCAGGAAGGGGGTAGAAGTGCCCAGTAGGCAAGGTGTTAAAACACCTATTTAGTGTTTTTTGTTTTTGTTTTTAATATTGTTGTCTGTGCTCCCATTCGTGAAATTCACCCTTTCAGTTTGTCCAGTTTTCCATTATCATTGAACGTGAAAGTAAAAGATAATCCCAAATTTCGGGTTTTTCCCAGAAAAGTAATAGAAGGGAAATCTTCCAATGTGTACACTAGTTCTAGTGACCTGCTGGAGGGAAGCACAAGGGGTTCACTAATTTGCAGGGATTTCCTCTCATTTCTGCCTGTTTTGACTATGGTACAAGAAGTGAAGGGAAATCTCCCCAATGAGGCACAGCTGGCAAAATAAACCCTCAGATAAAACTGACAGGGATAATCCAAATTGGGGGGGGGGGGGGGGATTGCCTATAGTTCATCTAAATCTGACTTAAACCATTATAGAGCCACCATAAACCAAAATGCCTTGATCTGCTTACTTGTTGCATAAAGTATGTAAGTCGTGGGGTAACCTTGATAGCTAGCCTATGTAATTCTCATCACCGGTCTCTGAAACAGATGTTGATATGGCAGGACAGCAAAAAACAAATTGTCTGTGTCCACCCATTCTGCTTACTTCTGTTTACCTAAACAAAAAAAAAAATATCCTCGTTGAGTTAAAGTTGGGGAAGTTTTATGGTTTCCACCTGCTTGGCTATAATTTGATTATTAGGGGTAGCTGCCACACACCGTTCCTTATCTTTTAACTCTTCCACAGGTATTTGGAGGCAGAGGGATGCCCCACGAGGGGTTTTTGTCATCTTTTGGTTGTTTTAAAATTGCGTTGGAGTTATGTTATGTGGTTAAGTCTACATGCAAAGAATGCTTGGGTAGAATTCTCTTACTAAATGATCTAGTTTTATATGTATAAATAACTTATTAGGAGATGTTATTGTTCAGAATAGAACCTAAGAAAAAGTAATCTATTTCTGTATTTCAGTTATTTATTGGAGTGCCTTTCTCTAAAAGACAGCCGGGAAACCATGGCTCATCTACTGGATGGAATGAAACGTATGTTCATTTCTGTCTTTCGGATATACATGGTAAAACTACATTGGAACTTGTTTTTTCAGTTCTTTAAAACCTGACAAGCAATGTTGTATTCATTGGAGTAGAATCAGTTTGATATGCTGTAAGTTGAATAATGAAAGTCTGTGTACTCAGGATTTCAGGGGTTTCTGGCACCTATTTTAACTCCATTTATCTTAGTTCTAACATTCTACATGTACAGTATTTTGCTGTAGGTTTCCAACTACAAGCCTAGTGTGTATAAAGTTAAGTGCAACCTAACAGTGTTTGCTCCCCAATTATTGTATTCACTTCAGGTTCATAATGATATCACTGACAGAAAGCAAATTATGGGCTACCTCTGCCTTTATTTATTAGGAATATGAAGCCATGTTTGCCCTGATTGTCTTTTAGGCAAAAGGCAAATTAGCCTGAAACATGGTTTTCTGTCTGTAATAGTTTTATCAATGAAAGCGATCATCCCCGAACAGCAGTCAAATGCCAGGACTTGCTCTTTCATTAAGTATGCATGGACTTTTGGATCTTGTGATCCTGGTGTGCACCTCCAGGACAAACAATTTATTTTGAGCAGTGGTTCCTCTTTAGTAAATTTAGGATTTGTAAATACCACCTATAAATCTTTGCTGCATTGTTAGTTGATCTCTAATGGTGTGTTTAAACAATTTATCACATAGGTCTAAAGATACTGGTATCAAAATATGAGTTTGCTAGACCTGAAGATGTTGCTTTAATAGAGAAGAAATTGGAGAAGTGCCACAGTAGTGAAATTTCTTCTTTGGTTAACACGTAAGTAGCAAAATTATCTGTACATAAATTCGCCAGGTGTCATATTTAAAACCTTTCACTGGTCAAAATGGAAATACCCCCCCCACACACTTTTACCCTGCTTACCACTGTGAAAGTGAACATTATTTTTTATTTCTTACTGGAGTCCTCAGTAGGGTTTTCTGGGATTAAAAACTGGTGGTTCCTCCACCGACTACTCTTGTTGCCTCTCCTCCTCTTAATATCATCACACTGGTGTTGGAGTCTTTAGGATCCTGTGAGAACCCAGCCAATGATGAGTGTTCATGCCACCAGGAAGCAGTATTGCCACCTAAACAAGGATCCTCCCACTCCAGCAGCCCAGAAAAGAGTAAACTCAGGTCCATGTGCATCATGTTACCCTGGTTTAGGAATCTAGACATACTAATACAGACTGCAGGAAATGGTTTCCCTTCTCTGGATAAGTGCCTCCTGGCTATGTGTGGGGGACCTGGGACCCTGTGACAAGATAGGAATGGGGCTGGCTTGTAAGCTGCACTTGTATTGGACCCGGCATGCAGACAGTTCATCATGGTATGCATTGCCACCGGGTGCTCTACAGGTTGTAGGTAGGGGAGCCCAGTCAATGGAATCTCTATATAGATTCAAACTAGGACAGATAAAGATCCCCAAGAGTCAGGAATAAACTCCCAATCGTGCAGTCATTTATTAAAATGATGTTTAAAAACAATACATGAAGCAAACGAATGGACTGACATTGAAAGTCACTGCCGACCTGGCGACATCATTAGAAACCACACTCCAACGCATTTCATCCAATCAGGCATTATCAAGGGGCAGGACAAACATGGGAGATTTTTCTGAATTTCTAATGTAATTTTTATAATATGATCTCCAGCAACATATATATACTCATTTGTATACCTATATAGAGGATGCACTGATCCCCGTGTATATGGCCCCAAACGAAAACATTTCTTGTGTGTGTGTGTTGTGTTTTTTTGTGTTGTGTTTTTTTTTTTTTTTGTTTTTTTTTTTGTTTGTTTTTTGCATAGAGCAGGTAAAGCTTAGAGCCTCTGTTACCTTTTATTGCTTCCTGGGAAACCAGTAGAAGATTTGTACTCCTTTCCTTTGTGACACCAGGAGCTTCACTTTTTACCTTCATTGAGATCTCAATTTTGTGTTGACTGGCACTTTAAAAGCTGCATGTTGTCTGGCAGCTAAGGAGAAAGTTTGAATAATGCAGCAGACATGATTCTTAAGCCCTGAACACACTGCAAGTTTTTTTTTTTTTTTCGTTCAGCACAGCGTGTTAAATGAAAAAAAAAAAAAAAAACTGACACATTGTCGTACCAACACAAACTGTGTTGGTGAGCTGATCTCCCTTGCTATGCTTTTGTATTCTGACAGGGGGCTGCACTTACGACTGTAATAAACCTGGCCCTGATCACTTCTTAATCTATCTTTTGAACTTTGCACACTGTTACTCTTGGCTTCCCAGGAATACAGTAGCACAAGTCGGTAAACCAGTCACAGAGACTATAACGACAGAGACATAGCCTGTTTACAACTAATTTGCTTGGCAAATGTCCACCAATGTATTTAATATCCAAAATGTAGACTAAACCCCACTCCTTAATGACTGCCACAGGTATGTAAAGGGAGGAGCTCCAGTCTAGGGCCTCTTCCACAGAATCCCTAATACAAGACACACACGTATGCTCTGTCTGTATGAGAAGTATGTTAGGTGGATATGTTGATTTGTATTGTTAAAAGCTGTTGGAAATTTCTAAACTGCCATGTATGTGGTCCGCATTGGAAGTAGCAGAGTCTGTTTATAAACATAATGAAATGCCAAACTTCATCTTCTTGTGTTTGTCTTCCATACTGCAGAGAAAGTTTGGCACCTGTGCCAAGTTTTATTGCTCCCTGGTGAACCAATGGAAAGCTTTCCACTCATTTCCTTCCCTGTGACACCAGGAGCTTCACCTTTCCCTCTATCATTTTACCAAAAACAGTTAAATCCATTTTAAGTAGATTGGCCCTTTAAGAGCTTTGTGGTGTTTGGCAAATAAAAAGCTAAATAACGCAGCAGACTTCATTCTGAGCAATTACAAAACGTATCATTATTTTGTTCCAATCTAAAGTTCCTTAACAGAGCAGGAAGGCTTTATTCATCTACTCTAGCCGTTGTCAGCTAGGATTCCTCCAAAGGTTACTAGGGGTTCCTTTTGCTGTGGCTGATTGACCTCCCATTGATGGTGCCTGCATAGTTTCAGAGCCGAAGCCACTTGGTAGAGCCAGCAACATGACACCAACTATCTATTTAGCTGTTGGCATTCTTCCCGCTGGCCACCTATTTAAGAGACATTTTTCCACTCATCCCCAATGAATTGGTTATAATATAGGTTTCTCAAGGCCTAAACGTTATTTCAAGGGTTCCTCTGGGACAAAAAAGTTGAGAGAGGCTGATCTACAACATCAAAGGCTTGTTCACACCATGGTGCAGAGACATCTGTTTTTTTCTGCAAGGGCACAACAAAATCAATTATTCTTCATATGCCCAGTTTACAGCACAACACTGGTATCATGTGCAGATGTTTTCTGCTTAGGAAACTGCAACATCTATAATTCAAACTCACATGTAAACTGATGTCTCTGCAAGTGAAATCTGCGTGTCAGTTTTTCTTCACGTATGGTGTGAACGAGGCATAGATGATTTATTAATATTATTTCACCTGTCTGATTGCTCTGTAACAGGGATCTGCATTATATTTAAATTCTAGATTACATCCATAATACAGTGGATATAAAAAGTCTACACACCCCTGTTAAAATGTCAGGTTTCTGTGATGTAAAAAAAATGAGACAAAGATAAATCATTTCAGAACTTTTTCCACCTTTTTTAATGTTGCCTATAAACTGTACAACTCAGTTGAACAAACTGAAATCTTTTAGGTGGAAAGTAAAAATAATACCTTTTGTCAGTGAATAAACCTAATCAGAATGAAGCTAATGCTGGGCTTTCTTAGTAAAAAAGTTACCATGTTTTTCAAATAGAAAATCATGGATGCCCATTGTAATAAATTTATTTTTTGTAAAATAAGGAATTCTTGCAATTAATAGATATCAAAGATGGGTTCTTGCGCATCCTAATACTTGTGGTGGCGGATAATTACTTTGAAGCTGTGGCTTCCCCTTTTTGGTCTAGCCACTGCTTCTTGAGTTTTTATGAAGGTCTTGACTCCTAACAGTGGTGGCACTTAACATTCAAAAGAGATTCTTTTTCTAGGATACCTGGACAATCTGCCTTTTACATTCTGTAAATACAGGGGGTCTGGGTTTGAAAATGTATGCACAGCTGTCTCAAAGAATAATCTTAAATTTTGTAATATGTTTACTTACTATGATTGTTTACTCTATCTGGTGGCCATAATGCCATATTTTTTGGAAATACTTCAATCTGGAAAATACAGCATCATGGCCACTAGATGGAGCTGATGATCATAGGAAGTAAAACTATTACACAAATGACAGCAATTTTTCATGACAGCTGGACTTTAGGCATTAACACTGCACATTTTATATAAATAGACCCCTAAGTGTTGGTTTACAATCATTCTATAACCAGGTGCTAGTGAACAACGGTGAGCTGTATAATTATTAATTTTTGCACTCACATTTCGCTAATGGAAAATTTAAAATTAGGAACTATTTAATATGAATATGATGTGTACAGATTTATATGAATGTGTACTGATCAATGAACTAAACTTAGTGTCCGTGTGATCCCTGTTTGTCTTTCATGGTTTAGTTGTGCTGTGTCCAGGGCCACCATTTAGTGGTGTACAGGTAGTCCTCCCATACCAGGCCCAGATCCCATCTGGTCAGCAGATGGGCCCGGCTGGGGCTGCCTGTGGCTCTCCCTTCTCCTTAAAGTGTCCTTCCCAATGCCCTGTGCAAAGTAGGCAGATGCCAGGAACTGGGCAACCTGGTGGGTGTGGCGGCAGCTTTCTCCTCTCCTCGCATAAGCGACAGCTTCATTCTGGCTGATCTAAGGTTGAAGATGGGGAGGGATGGGAATCAGAGATAGTAGCCCTGCAAATTGTCCATTTCTAGCCACATGTAAAGTGACTTGACTTACTAACTAAAGATAGTTAATTTAGAGGTTGCAAAATAAATAACTGTATCACCCAAAATATGGCTTCCATTCAGTAGCCCAAAGAGGCATACAAAAAAGAAGGGTTTGTGAAAAGAAATTCACAGGAAAGCGGCTACACTATGAACAGAATGTGATACTCAGAAAAAATTCCAAAAATAATGCTTTATTACATATAAATAATTGACATATGGGCAGTCTCCCTGGTTACCATCACCTCAGTATGAGACAATATACACACAGACCTAAAACCATATAAAATCACCAAGACCGGTCTGAATAAATGTGCTGCCAAGACAATGACAAAAATGTCTAAAGTCTTTGCCGCACTGGCACATAGGTTAACACTTCCCAAAGGAGGTGTGCACAAAAATTATACCATGGGTATACAGTGTCACATATAATAAATGTAAAGACATATGTCATAACCATGTAGGTTCTATCCCATGGAGGGGATTTCCCAAAAATTATACCAAAGGTATAAAATATCACATGTATGCATTGCGGCGAGCACAGTGTGCGTCAGAAGAGAGGCAAAACCATAAGCCTATGTAAGGCAGCAAAAGGATATCATGTATAAAATGCAGTACAGTCCCATGCCGGTACACGTGGTTGGGGCCCATTCATCTGTAATAGAAGTGACTGATATTTAGGATTCTTTAGATGTAAATAACGCCCCGATTGTTGCCTGGATGGAGGAACAGATGCAGATAGCAGAACACTGCTTTAAGTGATGACTTCACCACAGTATGTGGACTACACATCACTTGTTGTTGAAAACAAGATAAAGCCCAGCGGCTCCTCCGCCCGTTGAAATATATATTCTATGTAAAGCACCATAATGTCCCCATCCTGTAATAAG